GCGGCCCCCATTTTTGCACATGCTAAGCCCAAAGCTATAAATGAACTTCAAAAAGTTCAAAATCTATTCTGTCGTAGGGCCACTAACTCGCCCTATTATGTCCGTAATGCCGACCTACATCGAGACTTAGAGCTCCCAACAATCCAGCAATTCCTTAAATCACTCTCTGAGAGATTTTTCAAAGCCTCAGAGTCCCACCCAAATCATCTCATTCGTGAGACAGCTGCCTATGCAGCCCCTATCCACACTCGCTATAGTGTGCGCAGACCGAGAAACTCTCTCTCGGACCCCCCCAACAAGCTTTCGGCTGACCTGAACTGCCTCCTGGCGGCTCAGGCCGAGCCTCCATAACACATCCATTAATCTGCCTTAGTTAGGCATTCTTCTAAGCGGCTTTTCGCCGCTTGCGCCCTCCTTTCTGCCAAGGAGGGTCGCGTTCGTATACGGCTTAGTGATCTCTAGACAGATCGTTAAGCCATTTCCTAAAAGGCGGTGTTTAGTGGGTAAAAGTCTCCACATAACCACGCAGCCGGGTGCGTGGTATGCTATGAGCATTCACCGTCTCCCGCCCCCGCTTTCCGGAGGGTTGCCCATATTTGCTTCGGGCGCAAAAAAAAATGTAGTCATCTCTCAGAGACTCATATTTCCTTAATTATTTCAGCTGCCTCTGATGTTTAATGACCATTTTAAAAAAAAATTAAGAAGAAAAAGGAGTTCTTACTAAAGCTATAAAATCTAAAATAAGACGGGTGAAAAAATTTATAAGAAATGCAATATTAACGCTTTTCGGTATTGTCACAAGGTTGATTTCCTTTTACATATCGTTTTATACGTCGATTATGATTATAACACAGAGTAACTTTTTATTTTTAAAGAGTCTTTCAGAATTTCTTTATTTTTGTTTCTTTTTATAATATTTCTATATGGTTAATTATCAAAATAGAATAGCCAGATGCATAGAGTAAACCTATCTACGGAAATCTCAGAGTATGTCTGTATTAAAACTTAACCCTGTGTTTTATATAGACGATTGAAATTGGTTTGAACAAGTAATTTATGAAATGCGTTTAATCAAATATAGACAATGTGCCATGCCATTTAATTTCCAGTTACCGTAAGAGAATCCAATACCCGATACCACCTGATGGAGCGAAATTGTGGAGCTGCATCACCACTTAGCATCCGGTGGGGTAGCAGTCAAGTACAACAGGCCTATGATTAAAACATTTTACAGTGATATAAAATGATAATACACCTCATTATTATGCACAGTTGCTACAGTAAAGTAAGTTTACAATATGAAACATTAACTATTATAAGGCTAAACCAAGCATTGAGTTTCAGCGCTAAGGGCCGCGGGTTCAAATCCCGCACGGTACAGTCACACCCGTAATTCTCCTGGTTTTGCAGTTGTTCATGGGCAGGCATGGTTGTCATTTACAATCAGGTGAGCCACATTTTCATTTGTCCCCTCTTCTTTAAAAAAACCTCTCCACTATACAAGAGAAAATCCTAGTGTGGAGGTGACTTTTAAAAAAAAAGATAATAAAAAGAAAAATATTTGTCTCCTATCTCACTTGTTGATAAGTGGTAAAATAACCAAAGATAGTGAACTGAACAAAGGTTTATTCTCCCTTGCCTTGATGAATTAATGTCGGGTGCAAGGCCAATAGCGCCATGTTGTATTGATTAGCAGAACTAGAAGAGCTTTCTAGAAAAGTCCGTACTGGAACTAATTCTTCACCTAGTTAGTCGTGACAGCAATGTACGCGAACATTCTAGATTTTAAGAAGAAGAGGCCTCTATATAAGGCCGGTAAGGACCGCGACCGAGCCCCGCCCTCTTTTCCCAAAAGAGGGTCGCTCATGATAAGGCACAATAGAGCTTAATCAGCCGGTTGCCTGTCCCCAAAGGCGGTTTTAGAGGGTATCACTTAGGGTCCCCGGTAGGACAGTGAGCCCCTCATAACCAAAATAGACCGGCTATCGTGGTATGCATAATGCATTTTCCGCCTCCCTACGTATAGGGTAGCCCTTTAATTGCTTCGGGCGCAAAAAAAAAAAGCGACCGAGTCAGTATTGAATTGGCGATTCGAGCGAATACTTCGAAGTAATATAACTGCGAACGAAGGTGATCAGTAGTGCAATTATGTTTTATTATAAGTGTGTTTTGTATGCTTGTAACAACATTAGTTGTAATGGGTGTTCGGTTGTCAAAGTGACAATTTTAGTAATTCAGTTTTTATTGTCACGAACCACAAGCTTGTAACAATGTTAGTAACTTTTATTCCCTGCCATACCTGATATTGTTATTATTATGTGGGGTATCTATATAGTTTTCTCATCTGGTTGGGTTCTATAAATATATAATTATAAATTAAAATGAAAAGATAAATATACATAAATATAATTAAAATAAAATAAATACAAAAATACATAAATAAATAAAAGCCCAACTAGATGGAAGCGCTCGGCTGAGGAGACCAAACGGCCGAGGGTTAGGAAGAATGGGAAAGAAACCGGCGGACGATGCGGGCAGTATCGAGGAGCACAGCCTTTGCATTTGAGCCCGGAGCGGTCCGTCACGGAGTCTCAGTTGCCTCAGATGACCCGAGAGGCTGACTGGGATTAGCCCATTCGCAGAGACGACTACAGGAAAAATTTTGGCCGGCATACCACCCCACATGTCGGTCATTTCGTGAGCCAGGTCCAGATATTTTGTTCGTTTATCTGTTTCGGCCTTCACGAGGTTCTCGTCATACGGAATGGTAGTGTCGACCAAAAATATCCTCGACTATGCCTAGTCCATCAGCACAATATCAGGCTTACTCGCAAGAATAGTCCTGTACGTGATGATGGCCCGGTCCCAGTAGAGCCTGGAGCGGTCATTTTCGAGCACGGCTTCCGGCAAGTACTACGGCATATATACGGCAATTTTCGATCCACGAGACCGTATTTCAGAGCGAGCTCAGAATGTATAATTCTGGCTATTAGGTTGTGCCTTTGCAAGTACTCAGAGTTAGAAAGCACCAAACAACCGGAGATGACATGCCTAAGTGACTCCCCCGGTATGGCGACAAGCTCGAAAGACGTCGACAGTGCCATCCTTTAGGATGTATCTCCGATAGTTGTTGGTCTTAATAACCTGATCCTGTATTGCACAGACAAAACCCCCTGTTTCCCCGAAGAGGTCACCGATATGTAGCCAGTTGAGGGAGGCGGCTGTATCTACGTGGAGCTCATGAAGAGCCCTGTAGTACCTCCAGTGGAGCTCCTTCTCCTTCCATACGGTCTCCCGGTTGGAAATGCTCTGTACTGTCGGGTCCTGCCATTGCTCGCTGGCTAAGGCTAGAGGGGTAAGTCCTTTATCACTAGGAATGACGTCATTATAGAATGGATCATCCGATCTCGCCAGGAAGTAATGACGTAGGCTGCACACCTCGCGATTATGCATGGTGAGCGCGCTCAAGAAGCCACGGCCACCACGCTTTCGCGGCAAGTACAACCTCATTACCGACGATCTCGGATGATGAATCCTATGGGACGTCATTGTAGTGCGGACTTTTCTATCTAGGCGTTTAGTTCAGTCAGACTCCACCTGAGTATGCCAAAGGTATACATGAGGACAGGCATGACCCAGCCGTTATATGTGTGTGTTTTATTCACACTGGACAAAAGGCTGTTAATCACTTTGGTCAAGCGTGCATAAAACACGTCGCAAACTGACTGTTTTAAACCAGCCTCATCGATACCGATGTTCTGTGACATAACCAGGTATCGGTATGTTTCAGCCTCGGAAAGGGTCCTAAAGTTGACGGGCATAGATAATTCTATGCCCTCAGATTTAGCAATCCTTCCCCTTTCAACATGTAGGACCGGACACTTATCCGTCCCCAGCTCCATTCTAATAGAATTGCTAAATTCACAAGTGATGTTTAGCAATTCCATAAGATTGGAGTGACTGGAGGCGAATAATTTGAGGTCATCCATATGGAAAAGGTGGGTCACTTTTGTACCTCCTTCCGGAATCTGAAATCCCGGAGCCCTCCAGTAAAGTACTGAGAGGGTTCAAAAAGAGAGGCAGAACCAGATTGGACTCAGACAGTCGCCCTGGAATATACCCCTTCTTATCCTTATTCGGCTTTCCGCAGCCGTCATCCGCTCGCCTAGATGACAGAGGATCGTAATCCACTGCCCCACACACTGCTCGAGGAAGTCTCGAACTGTACAGTCAATCTTGTACAGCTCGAGGACCCTCTTTAGCCATGTATGGGGCACCGAGTCCAACGCCTTTCTGTATTCTATCCAGGCGGCGGAGAAGTACCGACAGTTACGTTTCACCACTTTGCCAATGACCGCGTCAATGAGGAGTGGTTCCTTGGTTCCACGACCACCGCCCCGACAACCATTTTGAGCGCGCGACATCACCTGATTTGAGTCCAGGTGACGAGTGATTCTCGCGCTCAAAATGGATGTTAGTGTCTTGTATCGACCATATACAAGACACGTGGTGGGGCGGTATTTGCTCGGGTCTGTGGCACCCTGATCTTTAGGAACCAAATGAGTGATCCCAGTAGGGAAGAGGCTCGGGAGCGACTTCTAGTTGAGAGCCTCTTGAAACTCTCGAGCGAGCACAGCATGACACACCATGAACCATTTCAGCCAGTAGTGATGCAGCCAGTCAAGCCCCGGACTTTTCCTGTTCGGGGCCCTACGTACCGCCTCAGCTACGTCATCCGGCGTTATGATGACGGGGTCCATGGGCGTAATACCCGCACACTGACTCGCCACAACTTCCGTCCAAGGGCCCTCGTTGTGGTTTACGGACTCTGACCACTGGCTGCGCCAGAATGCGACCGTGTCGGCCTGATTCGGTACTGGGCCCGTTCCACTTATCATTGGTTACTCCAATGATTTATAGAGCCTCCTCTGATCACTCTGGAAGAGACGATTCTGATTGAACCGTGTCGACCACTCGGTATATCGCCGAATCCGCTTTCTTCAAGCAGCGATTGTCTGCTTCAGGTCGTCTATGCACTCCGTCAGTTTTTGCATTATATCCGGCTGGGACAAACTAATATTTTTCCCAGCAAACGCCATCCTGACGGTGCGCACAATCCTTAGCCTGGTATTTCCTGACCTGAAGCATATCAGTCTGCCGTTGAGGGCCCTAGCCTTTGCGATACGTTCTTCAATTCTTGTTCTCCAGGCTGAGATAGCACTACTTTGTCCAGTAGTGCGTCCAGCCGTGGAAAGTTTGGGAACTATAATACGGCAGACTGCCAGTGCGGCGCCAAAGAGAATTGAGTCCGTCTCGCAAAGATCCCGGCTGGCTTCCAAATAGGTCACCAGAATTGGGTTCAGAGCCCTCACGATAGCCCGATTCAGCTTGCTGAGGGCTATGCGGGGAAGTCGCGGTCGATTTTCGAGAGGCGTACTGCGCGTTTCCAAAATCGCCTCATCCAATGTACTCCTCATATGCTCCATTTCCAGTTCCTGGGCGACTGTTCCATCATCATTTGAATCAACCGAAACTGGGGTATTCACGGCGGCATCCAAGTTTGCCGGTTGCTCTGCAAGTTGTGGCGCCGCATCTTCAGCCGTAGCATTTTCATCCGATGAAGGAACAGCCTCACGTTGTAGTCGTTCGAGTTCGGTGGCATCAAATGTATTTGAGCGCAAGATATACCGAACTCGGTCTGCCAGGTTTTGCTCGGTGACGGTTACAGATGGCTCCAGCTCAGCAAAAAGTCGATGCATCCTTGTCCGATACGCAAAACCTCCAATTTCTCCCCCTTTCGCCCTAAAATACGCCCGCAATGCGTTGCTGTTCATTTGAGTTGTCCAGCGCATGCAGCGTGCTTCATCAGTGGCGGGTGCCGATTGCTAGGCCCGCGAAGACCCTGCCGACACCAAGACAGCTGGTGGGGATGATGGATGGGAGGGGCTGCTGTGTGGTCGTGCAGCACCTCGCGCTCGTTTGCTGGCGGTTCGCATGCTGTCGCGTCCAGCGACAGCTCCAGATGCGCCCTGGCGTCCGCCAGGCAGCGGCCCTTTGCGCATTCTAGTCAAATCCATCATCCATTTTTGTGGGCGTCATTTAACGGGAGACGGCCAGACCCGACGCCGTTGCATGGTGGGCCATGTGTACAAGCGTGCCTTTGCACCTTCAATTTTTGCCGAGGCACGGCACTAACCTCTTGGCAAGGTGCTGACTGACTGCGCTGAATTTGCGGTTTTGTCACATAACCGTTACGTCAGCGGACGATGGGGTCGTCACTTCCCTACGCGTTTTTACTTTTATTATTATTATTATTTGGAGTATCTACATAGTTTTCTCATCTGGTTGGGTTCTATAAATATATAATTATAAATGAAAATGAAAAGATAAATATACATAAATATCAAGAACATAAAATAAATATAAAAGTACATAAATAAATGAAAGCCCAACCAGATGGAGGCCCTCGGCGGGGGAGACCAAACGGCCGGGGGTTAGGGGGAAAGGGAAAGAAACCGGCGGACGATGCGGGCGGTATCGAGGAGAACCGCCTTCTGCATTTGAAACTAGCGGTCCGCCAAGTAGTCCCAGCCGCCTCAGATGACCCGAGAGGCTGACTGGGATTAGCCCGTTTGCAGAGACGACTACAGGAATAATTTCGGTCGGCAGACCACCCCACATGTCGGTTACCTCGTGAGCCAGGTCCAGATATTTTGTTTGCTTGTCTGTTTCGGCTTTCACGAGGTTCTCGTCATACGGAATGGTAATGTCGACCAAAAATATCCTTGACTGTGCCCGGTCCATCAGCACAATATCAGGCCTATTCGCAAGAATAGTCCTGTCTGTGATGATGGCCCGGTCCCAATAGAGCCTGGCGCGATCATTTTCGAGCACGGCTTCCGGCAAGTACTTGTAATACGGCAATTTCCGGTCCACGAGACCGTATTTCAGAGCGAGCTCCTGGTGTAGAATTCTGGCTACTAGGTTGTGCCTGTGCAAGTACTCAGAGTTAGAAAGCGCCGAACAACCGGAGATAACATGCCTAAGTGACTCACCGGGATGGCGACAAGCTCGACAGATGTCGACGGTGCCATCCTTTAGGATGTATCTCCGATAGTTGTTGGTCTTAATAACCTGATCCTGTATTGCACAGACAAAACCCTCGGTTTCCCCGAAGAGATCACCAAAGCGTAGCCAGTGGAGGGAGGCTACTGTGTCTACGAAAGGCTCATGTAGAGCCTTGTAGAACCTCCCGTGGAGCTCCTTCTCCTTCCATACGGTCTCCCGGTCGGAAATGCTCTGCACTGCCGGGTCTTGCCATTGCTCGTTGGCTAAGGATAGACGGGTAAGTCCTTTATCACAAGAAATGACGTCCTTATAGAATGGATCATCCGATCTCGCCAGGAAGTAATCACGGAGGCTGCACACTTCGCGATTATGCATGGTGAGCGCGCTCAAGTAGCCACGACCACCATGCTTCCGCGGCAAGTTCAGCCTCATTACCTGCGATCTCGGATGATGCATCCTATCGGACGTCATGGTAGTGCGGACTTTTCTATCCAGGGCGTTAAGTTCAGTCTGAGTCCACCTGAGTATGCCAAAGGTATACATGAGGACAGGCATGACCCAGCCGTTATATGCGTGTGCCTTATTCACACCGGACAAAAGGCTGTTAAGCACTTTGGTCAAGCGTGCATAAAACACGTCGCAAACTGACTGTTTCATACCAGTCTCATCGATACCGATGTTTTGTGACATACCCAGGTATCGGTATGTTTCAGCCTCGGAAAGGGTCCTTAAGTTGACGGGCATAGATAAGTCTACGCCCTCAGAGTTAGCAACCCTTCCCCTTTCAACATGGAGGACCGCACACTTATCCGTCTCAAGCTCCATTCCAATGGAATTGCTAAATTCACAAGTGATGTTTAGCAATTCCATAAGATGGGAGCGACTGGAGGCAAATAACTTGAGGTCATCCATATAGAAAAGGTGGGTCACTTTTGTCCCTCCTTTCCGTAGCTGAAATCCCCTCCCGGAGCCCTCCAGTAAGGTACTGAGAGGGTTCAGAGAGAGGCAGAACCAGATTGGACTCAGACGATCGCCCTGGAAGATACCCCTTCTTATCCTTATGTGGTTCTCCGCAGCCATCATCCGCTCGCCCAGATGACAAAGGATCGTACTCCACTGCCCCATACACTGCTCGAGGAAATCTCTAACTGTACAGTCTACCTTGTACTGCTCGAGGACTCTCTTTAGCCATGTATGGGGCACCGAGTCGAATGCCTTTCTGTAGTCTATCCAGGCGGCGGAGAAGTTCCGACGGTTGCGTTTCACCACTTTGCCAATGACCGCGTCAATGAGAAGTGGTTCCTTGGTTCCACGACCACCGCCCCGACATCCATTTTGAGCGCGCGACATCACCTGATTTGAGTCCAGGTGACAAGTGATTCTCGCGCTCAAAATGGATGTTAGTGTCTTGTATCGACCATATACAAGACACGTGATGGGGCGGTATTTGCTCGGGTCTGTGCCACCCTGATCTTTAGGAACCAAATGAGTGATCCCAGTAGTGAAGAGGCTTGGAAGCAACTTCTGGTTGAGAGCTTCTTGAAACTGTCGGGCGAGTACAGAGTGACACACCATGAACCCCTTCAGCCAGTAGTGATGCAGCCCGTCAAGCCCCGGACTTTTCCAGTTCGGGGCCCTACGGACCGCCTCAGCTACGTCATCCGGCGTTATGATGACGGGGTCCATGGGCGTAATACCCGCACACTGACTCGCCGCAACTTCCGTCCAAGGGCCCTCGCTGTGGTTTACGGGCTCTGACCACAGGCCGCGCCAGAATGCTACAGTGTCGACCTGATTCGGTGCTGGACCCGTTCCACTTACCATTGGTCGCTCCAATGATTCATAGAGCCTCTTCTGATCACTCTGGAAGAGAGATTCTGGTTGAACCGTGTCGACCTCTCGGTATATCGCCGAATCCGCTTTCCCCAAGCAGCGATTCTCTGCTTCAGATCATCTATGCGCTCCGTCAGTTTTTGCGTTATATCCGGCTGGGACAAACTGACATTTGTCCCAGCAAACGCCATCCTGACGGTGCGCACAATTCTTGGCCTGTTGTTGCCTGATCTGAAGCATATCAGTCTGCCGATGAGAGCTCTAGCCTTTGCGATACGTTCCTCAATTCTTCTTCTCCATTCTGGGATAGCGCTACTATGGCCAGTAGCGCGTTCAGCCGTGGAAACCTTGGCGCCTATGATACGGCAGGTTGCCAGCGCGGCGCCAAAAAAGAATTGAGTCCGTCTCGCAAAGGTCCCGGCTGGCTTCCAAATAGGTCACCAGCATTGGGTTCAGAGCCCTCACGACAGCCCGATTCCGCTTGCTTAGGGCTATGCGGGGAAGTCACGGTCGATTGTCGAGAGGCGTACTGCGCGTTTCCACAATCGCCTCTTCCAATGTACTCCTCATATGCTCTAATTCCAGTTCCTGGGCGACTGTTCCATCATCGTTCGAATCAACCACAACTGGGGTATTCACGGCGGCATCCACGTTTGCGGGTTGCTCTACCATTTGTGGCGCCGCATCCTCAGCCGTAGCATTCTCATCCGACGAGGGAACAGCCTCACGTCGTAGCCGTTCGAGTTCGGCGACATCAAATATATTTTAGCGCAAGATATACCGAACTCGATCTGCCAGGTTTTGCTCTGTGACGGTTAAAGATGGCTCCAGCTCAGCAAAAAGACGATGCATCCTAGTTATAGTTATTATTATTATAGTTTTCTCATCTGGTTGGGTGCTATAAATATATAATTATAAATGAAAATGAAAAGACAAATATACATAAATATCAATAACATAAAATAAATATAAAAGTACATAAATAAATAAAAGCCCAACCAGATGGAGGCCCTCGGCAGGGGAGACCAAACGGCCGAGGGTTAGGGGGGAAAGGGAAAGAAACCGGCGGACGATGCGGGCGGTATCGAGGAGCACCGCCTTCTGCATTTGAACCTGGAGCGGTCCGCCACGTAGTCCCAGCCGCCTCAGATGACCCGAGAGGCTGACTGGGATTAGCCCGTTTGCAGAGACGACTACAGGAATAATTTCGGTCGGCAGACCACCCCACATGTCGGTCACCTCGTGAGCCAGGTCCAGATATTTTGTTTGCTTGTCTGTTTCGGCTTTCACGAGGTTCTCGTCATACGGAATGGTAATGTCGACCAAAAATATCCTTGACTGTGCCCGGTCCATCAGCACAATATCAGGCTTATTCGCAAGAATAGTCCTGTCTGTGATGATGGCCCGGTCCCAATAGAGCCTGGCGCGATCATTTTCGAGCACGGCTTCCGGCAAGTACTTGTAATACGGCAATTTCCGATCCACGAGACCGTATTTCAGAGCGAGCTCCTGGTGTAGAATTCTGGCTACTAGGTTGTGCCTGTGCAAGTACTCAGAGTTAGAAAGCGCCGAACAACCGGAGATAACATGCCTATGTGACTCACCGGGATGGCGACAAGCTCGACAGATGTCGACGGTGCCATCCTTTAGGATGTATCTCCGATAGCTGTTGGTCTTAATAACCTGATCCTGTATTGCACAGACAAAACCCTCGGTTTCCCCGAAGAGATCACCAAAGCGTAGCCAGTGGAGGGAGGCTACTGTGTCTACGAAAGGCTCATGTAGAGCCTTGTAGAACCTCCCGTGGAGCTCCTTCTCCTTCCATACGGTCTCCCGGTCGGAAATGCTCTGCACTGCCGGGTCTTGCCATTGCTCGTTGGCTAAGGATAGAGGGGTAAGTCCTTTATCACAAGAAATGACGTCCTTATAGAATGGATCATCCGATCTCGCCAGGAAGTAATCACGGAGGCTGCACACTTCGCGATTATGCATGGTGAGCGCGCTCAAGAAGCCACGACCACCATGCTTCCGCGGCAAGTACAGCCTCATTACCGACGATCTCGGATGATGCATCCTATGGGACGTCATTGTAGTGCGGACTTTTCTATCCAGGGCGTTAAGTTCAGTCTGAGTCCACCTGAGTATGCCAAAGGTATACATGAGGACAGGCATGACCCAGCCGTTATATGCGTGTGCCTTATTCACACCGGACAAAAGGCTGTTAAGCACTTTGGTCAAGCGTGCATAAAACACGTCGCAAACTGACTGTTTCATACCAGTCTCATCGATACCGATGTTTTGTGACATACCCAGGTATCGGTATGTTTCAGCCTCGGAAAGGGTCCTTAAGTTGACGGGCATAGATAAGTCTACGCCCTCAGAGTTAGCAACCCTTCCCCTTTCAACATGGAGGACCGCACACTTATCCGTCCCCAGCTCCATTCCAATGGAATTGCTAAATTCACAAGTGATGTTTAGCAATTCCATAAGATGGGAGCGACTGGAGGCGAATAACTTGAGGTCATCCATATAGAAAAGGTGGGTCACTTTTGTCCCTCCTTTCCGTAGCTGAAATCCCCTCCCGGAGCCCTCCAGTAAGGTACTGAGAGGGTTCAGAGAGAGGCAGAACCAGATTGGACTCAGACAATCGCCCTGGAAGATACCCCTTCTTATCCTTATGTGGTTCTCCGCAGCCATCATCCGCTCGCCTAGATGACAAAGGATCGTACTCCACTGCCCCATACACTGCTCGAGGAAGTCTCTAACTGTACAGTCTATCTTGTATAGCTCGAGGACTCTCTTTAGCCATGTATGGGGCACCGAGTCGAATGCCTTTCTGTAGTCTATCCAGGCGGCGGAGAAGTTCCGACGGTTGCGTTTCACCACTTTGCCAATGACCGCGTCAATGAGGAGTGGTTCCTTGGTTCCACGACCACCGCCCCGACATCCATTTTGAGCGCGCGACATCACCTGATTTGAGTCCAGGTGACAAGTGATTCTCGCGCTCAAAATGGATGTTAGTGTCTTGTATATGGTCGGTAGACACGTGATGGGGCGGTATTTGCTCGGGTCTGTGGTACCCTGGTCTTTAGGAACTAAATGAGTGATCCCAGTAGTGAAGAGGCTTGGGAGCGACTTCTGGTTGAGAGCCTCTTGAAACTGTCGGGCGAGCACAGAGTGACACACCATGAACCCCTTCAGCCAGTAGTGATGCAGCCCGTCAAGCCCCGGACTTTTCCAGTTCGGGGCCCTACGGACCGCCTCAGCTACGTCATCCGGCGTTATGATGACGGGGTCCATGGGCGTAATACCCGCACACTGACTCGCCGCAACTTCCGTCCAAGGGCCCTCGCTGTGGTTTACGGGCTCTGACCACAGGCCGCGCCAGAATGCTACAGTGTCGGCCTGATTCGGTGCTGGACCCGTTCCACTTACCATTGGTCGCTCCAATGATTCATAGAGCCTCTTCTGATCACTCTGGAAGAGACGATTCTGGTTGAACCGTGTCGACCTCTCGGTATATCGCCGAATCCGCTTTCCCCAAGCAGCGATTCTCTGCTTCAGATCATCTATGCGCTCCGTCAGTTTTTGCGTTATATCCGGCTGGGACAAACTGACATTTGTCCCAGCAAACGCCATCCTGACGGTGCGCACAATTCTTGGCCTGTTGTTGCCTGATCTGAAGCATATCAGTCTGCCGATGAGAGCTCTAGCCTTTGCGATACGTTCCTCAATTCTTCTTCTCCATTCTGGGATAGCGCTACTATGGCCAGTAGCGCGTTCAGCCGTGGAAACCTTGGCGCCTATGATACGGCAGGTTGCCAGCGCGGCGCCAAAAAGAATTGAGTCCGTCTCGCAAAGGTCCCGGCTGGCTTCCAAATAGGTCACCAGCATTGGGTTCAGAGCCCTCACGACAGCCCATTCCGCTTGCTTAGGGCTATGCGGGGAAGTCACGGTCGATTGTCGAGAGGCGTACTGCGCGTTTCCACAATCGCCTCTTCCAATATACTCCTCATATGCTCTAATTCCAGTTCCTGGGCGACTGTTCCATCATCGTTCGAATCAACCACAACTGGGGTATTCACGGCGGCATCCACGTTTGCGGGTTGCTCTACCATTTGTGGCGCCGCATCCTCAGCCGTAGCATTCTCATCCGACGAGGGAACAGCCTCACGTCGTAGCCGTTCGAGTTCGGCGACATCAAATATATTTTAGCGCAAGATATACCGAACTCGGTCTGCCAGGTTTTGCTCTGTGACGGTTGAAGATGGCTCCAGCTCAGCAAAAAGACGATGCATCCTAGTTATAGTTATTATTATTATAGTTTTCTCATCTGGTTGGGTGCTATAAATATATAATTATAAATGAAAATGAAAAGACAAATATACATAAATATCAATAACATAAAATAAATATAAAAGTACATAAATAAATAAAAGCCCAACCAGATGGAGGCCCTCGGCAGGGGAGACCAAACGGCCGAGGGTTAGGGGGAAAGGGAAAGAAACCGGCGGACGATGCGGGCGGTATCGAGGAGCACCGCCTTCTGCATTTGAACCTGGAGCGGTCCGCCACGTAGTCCCAGCCGCCTCAGATGACCCGAGAGGCTGACTGGGATTAGCCCGTTTGCAGAGACGACTACAGGAACAATTTCGGTCGGCAGACCACCCCACATGTCGGTCACCTCGTGAGCCAGGTCCAGATATTTTGTTTGCTTGTCTGTTTCGGCTTTCACGAGGTTCTCGTCATACGGAATGGTAATGTCGACCAAAAATATCCTTGACTGTGCCCGGTCCATCAGCACAATATCAGGCTTATTCGCAAGAATAGTCCTGTCTGTGATGATGGCCCGGTCCCAATAGAGCCTGGCGCGATCATTTTCGAGCACGGCTTCCGGCAAGTACTTGTAATACGGCAATTTCCGGTCCACGAGACCGTATTTCAGAGCGAGCTCCTGGTGTAGAATTCTGGCTACTAGGTTGTGCCTGTGCAAGTACTCAGAGTTAGAAAGCGCCGAACAACCGGAGATAACATGCCTAAGTGACTCACCGGGATGGCGACAAGCTCGACAGATGTCGACGGTGCCATCCTTTAGGATGTATCTCCGATAGTTGTTGGTCTTAATAACCTGATCCTGTATTGCACAGACAAAACCCTCGGTTTCCCCGAAGAGATCACCAAAGCGTAGCCAGTGGAGGGAGGCTACTGTGTCTACGAAAGGCTCATGTAGAGCCTTGTAGAACCTCCCGTGGAGCTCCTTCTCCTTCCATACGGTCTCCCGGTCGGAAATGCTCTGCACTGCCGGGTCTTGCCATTGCTCGTTGGCTAAGGATAGACGGGTAAGTCCTTTATCACAAGAAATGACGTCCTTATAGAATGGATCATCCGATCTCGCCAGGAAGTAATCACGGAGGCTGCACACTTCGCGATTATGCATGGTGAGCGCGCTCAAGTAGCCACGACCACCATGCTTCCGCGGCAAGTTCAGCCTCATTACGACGATCTCGGATGATGCATCCTATCGGACGTCATGGTAGTGCGGACTTTTCTATCCAGGGCGTTAAGTTCAGTCTGAGTCCACCTGAGTATGCCAAAGGTATACATGAGGACAGGCATGACCCAGCCGTTATATGCGTGTGCCTTATTCACACCGGACAAAAGGCTGTTAAGCACTTTGGTCAAGCGTGCATAAAACACGTCGCAAACTGACTGTTTCATACCAGTCTCATCGATACCGATGTTTTGTGACATACCCAGGTATCGGTATGTTTCAGCCTCGGAAAGGGTCCTTAAGTTGACGGGCATAGATAAGTCTACGCCCTCAGAGTTAGCAACCCTTCCCCTTTCAACATGGAGGACCGCACACTTATCCGTCTCAAGCTCCATTCCAATGGAATTGCTAAATTCACAAGTGATGTTTAGCAATTCCATAAGATGGGAGCGACTGGAGGCAAATAACTTGAGGTCATCCATATAGAAAAAGGTGGGTCACTTTTGTCCCTCCTTTCCGTAGCTGAAATCCCCTCCCGGAGCCCTCCAGTAAGGTACTGAGAGGGTTCAGAGAGAGGCAGAACCAGATTGGACTCAGACGATCGCCCTGGAAGATACCCCTTCTTATCCTTATGTGGTTCTCCGCAGCCATCATCCGCTCGCCCAGATGACAAAGGATCGTACTCCACTGCCCCATACACTGCTCGAGGAAATCTCTAACTGTACAGTCTACCTTGTACTGCTCGAGGACTCTCTTTAGCCATGTATGGGGCACCGAGTCGAATGCCTTTCTGTAGTCTATCCAGGCGGCGGAGAAGTTCCGACGGTTGCGTTTCACCACTTTGCCAATGACCGCGTCAATGAGAAGTGGTTCCTTGGTTCCACGACCGCCGCCCCGACATCCATTTTGAGCGCGCGACATCACCTGATTTGAGTCCAGGTGACAAGTGATTCTCGCGCTCAAAATGGATGTTAGTGTCTTGTATCGACCATATACAAGACACGTGATGGGGCGGTATTTGCTCGGGTCTGTGGTACCCTGATCTTTAGGAACCAAATGAGTGATCCCAGTAGTGAAGAGGCTTGGGAGCAACTTCTGGTTGAGAGCTTCTTGAAACTGTCGGGCGAGTACAGAGTGACACACCATGAACCCCTTCAGCCAGTAGTGATGCAGCCCGTCAAGCCCCGGACTTTTCCAGTTCGGGGCCCTACGGACCGCCTCAGCTACGTCATCCGGCGTTATGATGACGGGGTCCATGGGCGTAATACCCGCACACTGACTCGCCGCAACTTCCGTCCAAGGGCCCTCGCTGTAGTTTACGGGCTCTGACCACTGGCCGCGTCAGAATGTTACTGTGTCGACCTGATTCGGGCTGGGCCCGTTCAATTTACCATTGGTCGCTCCAATGATTCATAGAGCCTCTTCTGATCACTCTGGAAGAGAGATTCTGGTTGAACCGTGTCGACCTCTCGGTATATCGCCGAATCCGCTTTCCCCAAGCAGCGATTCTCTGCTTCAGATCATCTATGCGCTCCGTCAGTTTTTGCGTTATATCCGGCTGGGACAAACTGACATTTGTCCCAGCAAACGCCATCCTGACGGTGCGCACAATTCTTGGCCTGTTGTTGCCTGATCTGAAGCATATCAGTCTGCCGATGAGAGCTCTAGCCTTTGCGATACGTTCCTCAATTCTTCTTCTCCATTCTGGGATAGCGCTACTATGGCCAGTAGCGCGTTCAGCCGTGGAAACCTTGGCGCCTATGATACGGCAGGTTGCCAGCGCGGCGCCAAAAAGAATTGAGTCCGTCTCGCAAAGGTCCCGGCTGGCTTCCAAATAGGTCACCAGCATTGGGTTCAGAGCCCTCACGACAGCCCGATTCCGCTTGCTTAGGGCTATGCGGGGAAGTCACGGTCGATTGTCGAGAGGCGTACTGCGCGTTTCCACAATCGCCTCTTCCAATGTACTCCTCATATGCTCTAATTCCAGTTCCTGGGCGACTGTTCCATCATCGTTCGAATCAACCACAACTGGGGTATTCACGGCGGCATCCACGTTTGCGGGTTGCTCTACCATTTGTGGCGCCGCATCCTCAGCCGTAGCATTCTCATCCGACGAGGGAACAGCCTCACGTCGTAGCCGTTCGAGTTCGGCGACATCAAATATATTTTAGCGCAAGATATACCGAACTCGATCTGCCAGGTTTTGCTCTGTGACGGTTAAAGATGGCTCCAGCTCAGCAAAAAGACGATGCATCCTAGTTATAGTTATTATTATTATAGTTTTCTCATCTGGTTGGGTGCTATAAATATATAATTATAAATGAAAATGAAAAGACAAATATACATAAATATCAATAACATAAAATAAATATAAAAGTACATAAATAAATAAAAGCCCAACCAGATGGAGGCCCTCGGCAGGGGGAGACCAAACGGCCGAGGGTTAGGGGGGAAAGGGAAAGAAACCGGCGGACGATGCGGGCGGTATCGAGGAGCACCGCCTTCTGCATTTGAACCTGGAGCGGTCCGCCACGTAGTCCCAGCCGCCTCAGATGACCCGAGAGGCTGACTGGGATTAGCCCGTTTGCAGAGACGACTACAGGAATAATTTCGGTCGGCAGACCACCCCACATGTCGGTCACCTCGTGAGCCAGGTCCAGATATTTTGTTTGCTTGTCTGTTTCGGCTTTCACGAGGTTCTCGTCATACGGAATGGTAATGTCGACCAAAAATATCGCTTGACTGTGCCCGGTCCATCAGCACAATATCAGGCTTATTCGCAAGAATAGTCCTGTCTGTGATGATGGCCCGGTCCCAATAGAGCCTGGCGCGATCATTTTCGAGCACGGCTTCCGGCAAGTACTTGTAATACGGCAATTTCCGATCCACGAGACCGTATTTCAGAGCGAGCTCCTGGTGTAGAATTCTGGCTACTAGGTTGTGCCTGTGCAAGTACTCAGAGTTAGAAAGCGCCGAACAACCGGAGATAACATGCCTATGTGACTCACCGGGATGGCGACAAGCTCGACAGATGTCGACGGTGCCATCCTTTAGGATGTATCTCCGATAGCTGTTGGTCTTAATAACCTGATCCTGTATTGCACAGACAAAACCCTCGGTTTCCCCGAAGAGATCACCAAAGCGTAGCCAGTAGAGGAGGCTACTGTGTCTACGAAAGGCTCATGTAGAGCCTTGTAGAACCTCCCGTGGAGCTCCTTCTCCTTCCATACGGTCTCCCGGTCGGAAATGCTCTGCACTGCCGGGTCTTGCCATTGCTCGTTGGCTAAGGATAGAGGGGTAAGTCCTTTATCACAAGAAATGACGTCCTTATAGAATGGATCATCCGATCTCGCCAGGAAGTAATCACGGAGGCTGCACACTTCGCGATTATGCATGGTGAGCGCGCTCAAGAAGCCACGACCACCATGCTTCCGCGGCAAGTACAGCCTCATTACCGACGATCTCGGATGATGCATCCTATGGGACGTCATTGTAGTGCGGACTTTTCTATCCAGGGCGTTAAGTTCAGTCTGAGTCCACCTGAGTATGCCAAAGGTATACATGAGGACAGGCATGACCCAGCCGTTATATGCGTGTGCCTTATTCACACCGGACAAAAAGGCTGTTAAGCACTTTGGTCAAGCGTGCATAAAACACGTCGCAAACTGACTGTTTCATACCAGTCTCATCGATACCGATGTTTTGTGACATACCCAGGTATCGGTATGTTTCAGCCTCGGAAAGGGTCCTTAAGTTGACGGGCATAGATAAGTCTACGCCCTCAGAGTTAGCAACCCTTCCCCTTTCAACATGGAGGACCGCACACTTATCCGTCCCCAGCTCCATTCCAATGGAATTGCTAAATTCACAAGTGATGTTTAGCAATTCCATAAGATGGGAGCGACTGGAGGCGAATAACTTGAGGTCATCCATATAGAAAAGGTGGGTCACTTTTGTCCCTCCTTTCCGTAGCTGAAATCCCCTCCCGGAGCCCTCCAGTAAGGTACTGAGAGGGTTCAGAGAGAGGCAGAACCAGATTGGACTCAGACAATCGCCCTGGAAGATACCCCTTCTTATCCTTATGTGGTTCTCCGCAGCCATCATCCGCTCGCCTAGATGACAAAGGATCGTACTCTCCACTGCCCCATACACTGCTCGAGGAAGTCTCTAACTGTACAGTCTATCTTGTACAGCTCGAGGACTCTCTTTAGCCATGTATGGGGCACCGAGTCGAATGCCTTTCTGTAGTCTATCCAGGCGGCGGAGAAGTTCCGACGGTTGCGTTTCACCACTTTGCCAATGACCGCGTCAATGAGGAGTGGTTCCTTGGTTCCACGACCACCGCCCCGACATCCATTTTGAGCGCGCGACATCACCTGATTTGAGTCCAGGTGACAAGTGATTCTCGCGCTCAAAATGGATGTTAGTGTCTTGTATATGGTCGGTAGACACGTGATGGGGCGGTATTTGCTCGGGTCTGTGGTACCCTGGTCTTTAGGAACTAAATGAGTGATCCCAGTAGTGAAGAGGCTTGGGAGCGACTTCTGGTTGAGAGCCTCTTGAAACTGTCGGGCGAGCACAGAGTGACACACCATGAACCCCTTCAGCCAGTAGTGATGCAGCCCGTCAAGCCCCGGACTTTTCCAGTTCGGGGCCCTACGAACCGCCTCAGCTACGTCATCCGGCGTTATGATGACGGGGTCCATGGGCGTAATACCCGCACACTGACTCGCCGCAACTTCCGTCCAAGGGCCCTCGCTGTGGTTTACGGGCTCTGACCACAGGCCGCGCCAGAATGCTACAGTGTCGGCCTGATTCGGTGCTGGACCCGTTCCACTTACCATTGGTCGCTCCAATGATTCATAGAGCCTCTTCTGATCACTCTGGAAGAGACGATTCTGGTTGAACCGTGTCGACCTCTCGGTATATCGCCGAATCCGCTTTCCCCAAGCAGCGATTCTCTGCTTCAGATCATCTATGCGCTCCGTCAGTTTTTGCGTTATATCCGGCTGGGACAAACTGACATTTGTCCCAGCAAACGCCATCCTGACGGTGCGCACAATTCTTGGCCTGTTGTTGCCTGATCTGAAGCATATCAGTCTGCCGATGAGAGCTCTAGCCTTTGCGATACGTTCCTCAATTCTTCTTCTCCATGCTGGGATAGCGCTACTATGGCCAGTAGCGCGTAGCCAGCCGTGGAAACCTTGGCGCCTATGATACGGCAGACTGCCAGCGCGGCGCCAAAAAGAATTGAGTCCGTCTCGCAAAGGTCCCGGCTGGCTTCCAAATAGGTAACCAGCATTGGGTTCAGAGCCCTCACGACAGCCCGATTCCGCTTGCTTAGGGCTATGCGGGGAAGTCGCGGTCGATTTTCGAGAGGCGTACTGCGCGTTTTCACAATCGCCTCTTCCAATATACTCCTCATATGCTCTAATTCCAGTTCCTGGGCGACTGTTCCATCATCGTTTGAATCAACCACAACTGGGGTATTCACGGCGGCATCCACGTTTGCGGGTTGCTCTACCATTTGTGGCGCCGCATCCTCAGCCGTAGCATTCTCATCCGACGAGGGAACAGCCTCACGTCGTAGCCGTTCGAGTTCGGCGACATCAAATATATTTGAGCGCAAGATATACCGAACTCGGTCTGCCAGGTTTTGCTCTGTGACGATTAAAGATGGCTCCAGCTCAGCAAAAAGACGATGCATCCTAGCCCGATACGCCAAACATCCAGTTTCTTCCCCTTTTGCCCTAAAGTACGCCCGCAGTGCGTTTGATCTCGCCAACGGCGTGCTCCACCAGGGCGGGTGCCGCTTGCTGAGTCCGAGAAGACCCAGCCGACACCAAGCCTTCTGGATGGAGCGAGGGCTGGACCGTCTCTCCCTCCTGGCGGCCCGCATGCTGCCGCGTCCAGCGCCAGCTCCAGACGCGCCCCGGCGACCCCCAGGCAGCGGCCCTTTGCGCACTATCTTTTTATCCATCATCATCCATTATTATTATTATTTTGGGGTATCTATATAGTTTTCTCATCTGGTTGGGTGCTATAAATATATAATTATAAATGAAAATGAAAAGACAAATATACATAAATATCAATAACATAAAATAAATATAAAAGTACATAAATAAATAAAAGCCCAACCAGATGGAGGCCCTCGGCAGGGGAGACCAAACGGCCGAGGGTTAGGGGGGAAAGGGAAAGAAACCGGCGGACGATGCGGGCGGTATCGAGGAGCACCGCCTTCTGCATTTGAACCTGGAGCGGTCCGCCACGTAGTCCCAGCCGCCTCAGATGACCCGAGAGGCTGACTGGGATTAGCCCGTTTGCAGAGACGACTACAGGAATAATTTCGGTCGGCAGACCACCCCACATGTCGGTCACCTCGTGAGCCAGGTCCAGATATTTTGTTTGCTTGTCTGTTTCGGCTTTCACGAGGTTCTCGTCATACGGAATGGTAATGTCGACCAAAAATATCCTTGACTGTGCCCGGTCCATCAGCACAATATCAGGCTTATTCGCAAGAATAGTCCTGTCTGTGATGATGGCACGGTCCCAATAGAGCCTGGCGCGATCATTTTCGAGCACGGCTTCCGGCAAGTACTTGTAATACGGCAATTTCCGATCCACGAGACCGTATTTCAGAGCGAGCTCCTGGTGTAGAATTCTGGCTACTAGGTTGTGCCTGTGCAAGTACTCAGAGTTAGAAAGCGCCGAACAACCGGAGATAACATGCCTAAGTGACTCACCGGGATGGCGACAAGCTCGACAGATGTCGACGGTGCCATCCTTTAGGATGTATCTCCGATAGTTGTTGGTCTTAATAACCTGATCCTGTATTGCACAGACAAAACCCTCGGTTTCCCCGAAGAGATCACCAAAGCGTAGCCAGTGGAGGGAGGCTACTGTGTCTACGAAAGGCTCATGTAGAGCCTTGTAGAACCTCCCGTGGAGCTCCTTCTCCTTCCATACGGTCTCCCGGTCGGAAATGCTCTGCACTGCCGGGTCTTGCCATTGCTCGTTGGCTAAGGATAGAGGGGTAAGTCCTTTATCACAAGAAATGACGTCCTTATAGAATGGATCATCCGATCTCGCCAGGAAGTAATCACGGAGGCTGCACACTTCGCGATTATGCATGGTGAGCGCGCTCAAGAAGCCACGACCACCATGCTTCCGCGGCAAGTACAGCCTCATTACCGACGATCTCGGATGATGCATCCTATGGGACGTCATTGTAGTGCGGACTTTTCTATCCAGGGCGTTAAGTTCAGTCTGAGTCCACCTGAGTATGCCAAAGGTATACATGAGGACAGGCATGACCCAGCCGTTATATGCGTGTGCCTTATTCACACCGGACAAAAGGCTGTTAAGCACTTTGGTCAAGCGTGCATAAAACACGTCGCAAACTGACTGTTTCATACCAGTCTCATCGATACCGATGTTTTGTGACATACCCAGGTATCGGTATGTTTCAGCCTCGGAAAGGGTCCTTAAGTTGACGGGCATAGATAAGTCTACGCCCTCAGAGTTAGCAACCCGTCCCCTTTCAACATGGAGGACCGCACACTTATCCGTTCCCAGCTCCATTCCAATAGAATTGCTAAATTCACAAGTGATGTTTAACAATTCCATAAGATGGGAGCGACTGGAGGCGAATAACTTGAGGTCATCCATATAGAAAAGGTGGGTCACTTTTGTCCCTCCTTTCCGTAGCTGAAATCCCCTCCCGGAGCCCTCCAGTAAGGTACTGAGAGGGTTCAGAGAGAGGCAGAACCAGATTGGACTCAGACAATCGCCCTGGAAGATACCCCTTCTTATCCTTATGTGGTTCTCCGCAGCCATCATCCGCTCGCCTAGATGACAAAGGATCGTACTCCACTGCCCCATACACTGCTCGAGGAAGTCTCTAACTGTACAGTCTATCTTGTACAGCTCGAGGACTCTCTTTAGCCATGTATGGGGCACCGAGTCGAATGCCTTTCTGTAGTCTATCCAGGCGGCGGAGAAGTTCCGACGGTTGCGTTTCACCACTTTGCCAATGACCGCGTCAATGAGGAGTGGTTCCTTGGTTCCACGACCACCGCCCCGACATCCATTTTGAGCGCGCGACATCACCTGATTTGAGTCCAGGTGACAAGTGATTCTCGCGCTCAAAATGGATGTTAGTGTCTTGTATATGGTCGGTAGACACGTGATGGGGCGGTATTTGCTCGGGTCTGTGGTACCCTGGTCTTTAGGAACTAAATGAGTGATCCCAGTAGTGAAGAGGCTTGGGAGCGACTTCTGGTTGAGAGCCTCTTGAAACTGTCGGGCGAGCACAGAGTGACACACCATGAACCCCTTCAGCCAGTAGTGATGCAGCCCGTCAAGCCCCGGACTTTTCCAGTTCGGGGCCCTACGAACCGCCTCAGCTACGTCATCCGGCGTTATGATGACGGGGTCCATGGGCGTAATACCCGCACACTGACTCGCCACAACTTCCGTCCAAGGGCCCTCGCTGTGGTTTACGAGCTCTGACCACAGGCCGCGCCAGAATGCTACAGTGTCGGCCTGATCCGGTGCTGGACCCGTTCCACTTACCATTGGTCGCTCCAATGATTCATAGAGCCTCTTCTGATCACTCTGGAAGAGACGATTCTGGTTGAACCGTGTCGACCTCTCGGTATATCGCCGAATCCGCTTTCCCCAAGCAGCGATTCTCTGCTTCAGATCATCTATGCGCTCCGTCAGTTTTTGCGTTATATCCGGCTGGGACAAACTGACATTTGTCCCAGCAAACGCCATCCTGACGGTGCGCACAATTCTTGGCCTGTTGTTGCCTGATCTGAAGCATATCAGTCTGCCGATGAGAGCTCTAGCCTTTGCGATACGTTCCTCAATTCTTCTTCTCCATGCTGGGATAGCGCTACTATGACCAGTAGCGCGTCCAGCCGTGGAAACCTTGGCGCCTATGATACGGCAGACTGCCAGCGCGGAGCCAAAAAGAATTGAGTCCGTCTCGCAAAGGTCCCGGCTGGCTTCCAAATAGGTAACCAGCATTGGGTTCAGAATCCTCACGACAGCCCGATTCCGCTTGCTTAGGGCTATGCGGGGAAGTCGCGGTCGATTTTCGAGAGGCGTACTGCGCGTTTCCACAATCACCTCTTCCAATGTACTCCTCATATGCTCTAATTCCAGTTCCTGGGCGACTGTTCCATCATCGTTTGAATCAACCACAACTGGGGTATTCACGGCGGCATCCACGTTTGCGGGTTGCTCTACCATTTGTGGCGCCGCATCCTCAGCCGTAGCATTCTCATCCGACGAGGGAACAGCCTCACGTCGTAGCCGTTCGAGTTCGGCGACATCAAATATATTTGAGCGCAAGATATACCGAACTCGGTCTGCCAGGTTTTGCTCTGTGACGATTAAAGATGGCTCCAGCTCAGCAAAAAGACGATGCATCCTAGCCCGATACGCCAAACATCCAGTTTCTTCCCCTTTTGCCCTAAAGTACGCCCGCAGTGCGTTTGCATTCATTTCTTGTGACCAACGCATGCGACGTGCTCCACCAGCGGCGGGTGCCGCTTGCTGAGTCCGAGAAGACCCAGCCGACACCAAGCCTTCTGGTGGGGATGATGGATGCGGAGGGCTGGTAGATGACCGTGCAGCTCCTCGCGCTCGGCTGGCGGCCGAGGCGGCGAGGATTATTATTATTATTATTATTATTATTATTATTAAGGACGTACATTTTGACATGCAGATGTAAGTTGCTGCCATTGTTGAACACAGGTCTCCCCTCATTTCTGACAGGGTATTAAGGCGAGGAAGTGTCCGCCGCGCTGCCCCAATTGTGTTGGCAAACTACACATGTCTTAGAATTTATTTCTTATTCCTCAAACATATAGGTTTCCCACGATGTTTTTCTTCACCACCGAGCACCTGATATATCAGCACTTATAATTGCGATTAATTGGTGCCGGCAGTTATCGAACCCAGTTAAATTTACAGCGATTTACAATATCTGAGCTACCACGACTGATGGCATGCCCAACATATTTAAAATATCTGTAATGAAAAATAATATAAAGATATCATTTGTAAACTCTTAAGTCTAGGAGGTACGAGTAGAATGGTAAACGGAGTTATCACTTTAGTACCAGCCAAAAATGAAGAATAGCATCCTATCGGACCCCACTACAGTCGAGTAAAAAATAACTGCTTCATTTTGTACAAAAGCGAGTATACTTTTCCTTTCATGAGCGCGGTTATTCGGTCACGTTGTCATTACTTGCGAGAATATACTACGTAGGTGTATTTACGTGACAGAAGAGAGATAACCTATTGCGGAACCGCGCCAATATATTATGAAAGTGCCGAAGTCCACGCTCACTTACAAAGAGACCCTCTTATCTAGCGCGCCAAATTCGCACTTTTGTCGAATATGGATTTATTATGGTGATATTTGATAACATTGTAAATTATTGTGATAAATAGTTGTAAATTATTGATATGAAAACCGACGAATTTTAATGTTTTATCCACAAATAAGGTTTAATATGCGTACTTAAACAAGAATATTCTGTAACATATACATATATATTCAATTTTTTAACAAGTTGTGTTCTATTGTTTTTGTTTATTATAGCTGCCAAATATGATTATGAATAAGCATGTATATCAAATATCTGCCGAAATATAACTAATTAATATACCTTAAGGTAATACCTCGAAATTTTAGTGTTTTTTTCTATTCAACATATTTATTAAAGTTTTATAGATTACAAACCAAAATTTTGGTATATGATTTTTGACTATATGATCTTCAATTTCATAAAAGGAAAATACGATATCATGTAATTTTCCCGATAGAAAAAAATTGCAAAGTAGACTCTAATTATTTACATTTCTCGATGACACCACAATATTGTTGGGAATAATTTCATGGAATTAATTTTAATGCATAGTAAATAATCATATCTAAGTTTTCATAAACCAGTTTTTTTAATCCATAACGAAGTTGTGTTAAAATAAATAAAAATGTTGTTTGGCGCTTACTTAGTTTTTTTCCGAACGCTTTCTCGGTATAGCTATCTCATAATTTACGTACTATGAAGTCATTGCATCACTTTCATTTTGACACTCCCGCAGTCGTCCGTTAGCTTCACCGACAAAGGAATAAGCCACGCCCCCAAAACTTCGATTCATTTTCGAGGTATCCTCTTAAACTGCATTTTTTCTCATTTCTATCTAGTATCATTTATTTGTAGTAAGAAATGTCACCTTCTTTATTAAGTGGTCAAAGTGACCCATTTGATACAATTTTGAATCCAAAAAAAGAAACAAAATACATGATACTGGGAACGCCAACAGGTACGGAAGATTATCTCGAAATGTTCCGCTTTTGTCATAAATAAAGATACAATATAATGAGTTCCTAAAGCGAGAAATCTTGGTGTAGTGATAGACGAGCAACTGCGAATCGAGAAGCACATTTTTGACATTGTATGTAATTGCTTTTTTAGGCTAATTGTACTTTATCGAATTAGTGATTACCTAAACGTGACTCTGCGTGTTAATTTATGCGAGTCCCTTGTTCTCTCAAAATTTAACTATTCTGACTCTCTCATAGGACCGCGACTTCTAGCTCGTACCGAACAAATTATACAACGGGTGCAAAACGCCTGCGCGCGTTTTTGCTTTGACATACCACCACGTACACATGTAGCATCGTTTTATAACAAAGCCAATATATTAAAAATGGACCTCCGTAGACGACGACTTTGCCACTCTTTTGATCGGTATTCTAAAAAACAAAGAACCATTATATCTGTACAATAAGCTTGATTGGGCCAAAGATCACCATAATACACATTAGCTCAGATCAGTTGAACAAAAATTTGTACATCCTTTTAGCCGCTCTACTGCATTCAGAGGTAGTTTTAAATACAATGCAACAAAGTGTTGGAATAATCTACCACCTCCTTTAGTTAGTCTTATAACAATTAATAATTTTAAAAACAAATTATTTTAATAAATTACTACTACTCAATGAACAAAAAAATGTTGGTTAAGACGTAGAATCTACTTATATATAACTTATGATAATTAATAAAAACTCAGCATATAATGTGGGTAGCCTATTAGTTTTGTATTTTTTCTTTTCTTTTTTTTTAAATAATTTAAAAATCCAAAAAAATATTTTTATTAATACAAAACTGTAATTCATCCATTCGTATTCTTTTTGAAAAAAAAAAACGGCAAATTCTACTGTCAGTCCAATTATATATAAATTTATAATTTGCATATGTATACGTATATTATATATTATGAATTTTCGGACATCTAGAGCGAGCGTGCACTCAGCCGCCCGAGCTGCCTCTGGGTAAGGGCTGGACTGAAAACCAGTGCTATCACTGAGTCCGGCCCGTTTCACGGTTTCATGCTGCAGCAGAGCATTAAATTTATAATGATGTCAAATTAATTTTAATTTAGTTATGTTTATCTTTTGGCATTTAATTAATTTTTGCATTTAGAGTATAAAAACAATTTTGTATGTCCAATTGCATTAATTTTTTGAGGAAATGTTTTAATGGAATTTCTCGAATTTCAATTGCAGGTTTATTATATACTTTCATGCACATAATAAGAAAATCTTTCTGAAAAAAAGCAGTTTACATTAGCTAAAATTTAATCTTGTTGCGTCTACTAAAAATAAATACCTGCGGTTACCAATCCCCTTACCACACGTGGCAAGTATGGCAAATATTCCCCCTAAGAAGCAATCTATGGGGAAGGCATGTCTTAAGCAGTGGAGTTCGATAGGATGTAACGGTAACGGTACATATACTATATATACGTTATATAGTTACATGTGGGGAGTAATAAAACGGTATTGTAAAGAAATCATAGCAGAGGCGTTGCGTGCGTACGGGGAACGATATGAAATAAAGTCTCTTTTACGGTAGTGAATAAAACAAGTTTTATGAAATTCGTAACTGCGCAACGTGCGTGGGACGTTTTATAGTCACGTTAACGCAGGTTTAAATATACGAACGAAAGAGAGAAAGCATTTCTTTTGCCGCCAAAATCATATTCAAACGACAACACCATATAACATATTGTTACGAGTTTAGGGTTCGCGACAGTAAAAACTGCTGACTGAATTAACAAAATCAACACTTCAATTTACTTTACACCAATTAAAACTTAAAAGACACTAATAAATAATCACACTGATTCACTTTATTTCGCTCCGAAGCTTCGCTTGTCTCGCCAAATTCATTACTGCCCCCACCGCGTCTTGCAGCGCCCTTAAATAGACCTTTTTCACTGAAACATCCAGAATATTCAAGTAAATACGCGCGCCAACCGAACAGGCGCAGAAGGTTTGAGTGTGGGGCTTCCAGAAAGCTTAATTCTTCTGTTCGATACTAGATTGCGCCGTTGGTCAAATGTCAAGATTGACATTTTCTAGGAAGCCTTCCTCGCTCTGGTCCCCGTCACTAGATGGCGCTAGTGCCAGGTACCAGACGTCAACTTAGGCGCGCGACACTGCCCCTCCTAAGACATGCTCTTCCCGAGCATTATCGGCCCCATAATAACGCGCCAGGCGATCCACATGGATGATCTTAGGAGGCCCTCTTACGCCCTTCTGTATCCGGTAGGTTACATCGTTGATCGTGGTTACAATACGGTATGGACCGTCCCATTTAGCTTGAAGCTTAGGAGATTTTATATTTGCTGCGGACTGGATTGTGCAACCACACTAGTAAATCTTCGTCGAACCCTTTGTTGTTCATTTTGCGGTCGTATCGGGTTTTCATCTTTTCAGACATTGGCCCGAATGTCTGACGTGCTCATAAATGTCATTCATTTTGTTCCGCAAGTCATTTGCATAATCGGTTGTACTGCGTGGGGCATCAGGTGGTAACCCCGTGATCGGGTCTGCAGGCAGCCGTAGTTCTCTTCCAAAGTTTGCGAAAGCTGTTGTCACTGCTGTACTTTCGTGAACAGCGCTTCGATATGACAACAAAAACGGTTTGAAATAATACTAGTTTTTACGGATTTTATCGCGTATTTTAACTATAAATACCCGACATTTCGAGCGCTTTACAGCACCCATGGTCACGGATACGTCATGGATACGTCAGATTATAATTCTAAAATACAAGAACTTTTGTCGGATGTAAGCACTTATAAAAAAGTTAAAAACGACCCAACAAATAGCACACTAAAAACAACTAGTGACATCATAAATAAACAATCCGAAAAATTAAATCTGGACGTAAAATGGATAATACCTACGTGCGCCAAATCACCAGTTGTATGGGTTACCAAAAATACACAAGCCCAATGCTCCATTACGTCCCATAGTGAGCCAAATCGATTCACCAACTTACAGATTGGCTCAATACTTAGCGAAAATACTCTCACCGCTCAGGGGACATACAAGAGCACACATA